ATGAAGGATCCCTTTAGCTCCCTTTATACAATTGTTGGAAGGGCTAGAAGGAACCAACAAGGGAGCCAGCAAGAGCTGAAGCCATGGAAGAGCATCTGTTGCCAAAATCGTGGCCTTGCAGGGAATAATTGAGGACCAATATCTGCCTTCAGATCTCCTGCCAGTTCCTCCATTGGGTAAGCCATCCAGATACCAGAGGGAAAGGGAGCCTAGTTGCTGTACTTGATGGAGGTAAGCCTTCCAGGGTGCAGAGCAGGGTGAAGGAGAATGGAGAAGGGTTCCAAAAGGGCAAATGGAGAATAACTGTATTACATGGCTACATGGCTTGCTGATGATCACTTGATGAGAATGACTCAAAAGCTCATGCTGTGGGGAATATTATAGGTCCATGGTAAACTGCTTCATTGTTGCTCCCAATACAAGTCCTCAAAATAAAGTAGAATTTCTTACCCATAGTCTACCTATAACAAGTTCAACTTTCATCCTGCTGAGCCTTAAGAAAAAGTGGAGACAAGTGATGGGTAGAGCTAGGAAAGCAGTTCCAGGAGAGCAATTCTAGTAGAGCAGTTCCAGAGCTCTCCTAGAATAATGGTGGTAGTCTAGCAGCAGACTTCTCTGTGGAAATCTTACAAGCCAGGTTTCCACTGTGAAATAAAATGACATATTTAAAGTGCTGAAGGGAAAAAAAACTTTTACCCTAGAATAGTATTTCTGGCAAAAATATCCTTCAAACATGAGGACAAATAAATACTTTCCCAGACAAACAAAAGCTGAGAAATTTCGTCAGTACCTGGCCTGTCCTATAAGAAATCCAAAGGGAGTATTTCAATCAAAAAGAAAAGGACATTAATGAGCAATAAATAACCACCTGAAGGTACAACTTACTGGTAATAATAACTACACAGGAAAACACAGAAATTATCAAAAATAGTAACTGCAACTTTTCAAGACATAGTACAGTAAGATAGAAACAGCAAAAAGTTAAAAAGTGGGGTGACAAAGTTAAGGTATAGAATTTTTATTTGTTTGCTTTTTGCTTGTTTATGCAAATAGTGTTATCAGATTAAAATAATGGGTAATAAGATAGTATTTGCAAGCTTTGTGGTAATCTCAAACCAAAAAAAAAAAAAATACAATGGATACACAAAAAAATAGAAACAAAATTTGGTGGAGGTAAGCCTTCCAGAGCACAGAAAATCACCTTCACTAGAAGAAGACAGGAAGGAAAGAAAGAAGAAAGAGAAGACCCAAAAACAAATAACAAAATGGCAGGAGTAAATCCTTATTTGTCAATAATAACACTGAATGTAAATGGGCAAAACTCTCCAATCAAAAGACCAAGACTAGCTGAATGGATTAAAAAAATAAGACCCATTGATCTGTTGCCTACAAGAAACATATTTCACATTTCACCTATAGAGACACATATAGACTGAAAATATCAGGGTAGAAAAAGATATTCCATGCCAATGGAAACCAAAAAAGAGCAGGAGTCACTATATTTGTATCAGACAAAATAGATTTCAAGACAAAAACTATGAGACAATGTCACTATATAATTATTGAGGACTCAATTTAGCAAGGAGATAGAACAATTTTAAATATATACGCACCCAATACTGGATGACCCAGATATATAAAGAAAATATTATTAGAGCTCTAAAGAGAGAGGCCCCAATACAATAATAGCTGGAAACATCAACACTCCACTTTCAGCATTGGACAGATATTCCAAGCAGAAAATCAACAAAGAAACGTCAGACTCCATCTCTACTATAAACTAAATGAATCCAGTATTTACAGAACATTTCATCCCAGAGCTGCAGAATACACATTCTTTTCCTCGGCACATGGATCATTCTCAAGGATAGATCATTTGTTAGATCACGAAACTAGTCTTAATATTAAAAAAAAAAAAATCAAGCATCTTCTCTGATCACAATGGAATAAAACTGAAAATTGATAATGAGGAATTTTGGAAACTATAAAAATACACAGAAATTAAACAATATGCTTTGGAATGAGCAGTGGGTCAATGAATAAGAAGGAAATTGAAAATTTTCTTGAAACAAGTGATGGAAACACAACATACCACAACCTATGGGATATAGCAAAAGCAGTACTAGAAGGGAAATTTATAGCTATAAGTGCCTACATCAAAGAAGAGGAAAAACTTCCAGTGAACAATCTAACAATGCTTAAAGAACTAGAAAGGCAAGAGAAACCAAACCCAAAATTTGTAGAAGAAAAGAAATAATAAAGATCAGAGCAGAAATAAATGAAACTGGAATTTTTTAAAAATACAAAAGATCAATAAAACAAAACGTTGGGTTTTTTTGAAAGGTTAAACAAAATTGACAAACCTTTAGCCAGACTAAGAAAAAAGAAAAGATCTGAATAAATAAAATCAGAGATCAAAACGGAGACAATACAGCTCAGACTGCAGAAATTCAAAGGATCATTACTGGCTACTATGAGCAACTATATGACAATAATTTGAAAAATCTAGAAGAAGGACAAATTCATAGATACATACAATCTACCAAGATTGAACCAGTAAGAAATCCAAAACCTGAACAGCCCAATAACAAGTAATGAGATTGAAGCCCTAATAAAAATTCTCCCAGTAAAGAAAAACCTGGGACCTGATTGGTTCACTGCTGAATTTTACCAAGCATTTAAAGAATGAATGCTAATCCAATTCAAACCGCTTCAAAAAACAGAGGAGGAAGGAATGCTACCAAACTCATTCTACAAGGCCAGTATTACCCTGACATCAAAACCAGACACATCGAAAAAATAACACAGGCCAATGTCTCTGATGAATATTGATACAAAAATCCTCAGCAAAATACTAGCAAATTAAATTCAACAATACATTAGAAATAACATTCATTATGACCAAGTGGGATTTATTCCTGAGATGCAAGGATGGTTCAACATATGCAAATCAATTAATATGATACATCATATCAACAAAGTGAAGGATAAAAACCATATGATCATTTCAATTGATGCTAGAAAAACATTTGATAAAATTCAACATTGCTTCATGATAAAAACCATTTAAAAAAACTGGGGATAGGAGGAACACACCTCAACATAATGAAAGCCATATATAATAGACCCACAGCTAGTGTCACACTGAATGGGGAAAAACTGAAAGCCTCTCCTCTAAGATCTGGAACATGACAAGAATGACTACTGTCACCACTGTTATTCAACATATTGCTGGAAGTTCTAGCTAGAGCAATCAGACAAGAGAAAAATATAAAGGGCATCCAAACTGGAAAGGAAGGAGTCAAATTATCCTTGTTTGCAGATGATGTGATCTTATATTTGGAAAAACCTAAAGGCTCCACAAGAAAACTATTAGAACTGATAAACAAATTCAGTAACAGGCTACCAAATCAAAATACAAAAATCAGTAGCATTTCTACATGCCAACAGTGAACAATCCGAAAAAGAAATTTAGAAAGTAATTTCATTTACAATAGCCACACAAAATTACCTAGAAATTAACCAAAGAAGTGAAAGATTTCTATAATGAAAGCTATAAAACACTGATGGAAGAAATTGAAGCAGATATCAAAAAATGACAAAATTCATGTTCATTGATTGGAAGAATTAATATTGTTAAAATGTTCATATAGCCCAAAGAAATCCCTATCAAAATACCAATGACATTCTTCACAGAAATAGGAAAGACAACTCTAAAATTTATATGAAGCCACTAATGACCCAGAACAGCCAAACTTATCCTAAGCAAAAAGAACAAAGCTGGAGGAATCACATTACCTGACTTCAAATTATACAACAGAGCTATAGTAACCAAAACAGTATGGCACTGGCATAAAAACAGACACGTAGACCAATGGAACAGAATCAAGAACCCAGAAACAAATCCATACACCTATAGTGAATTCATTTTTGACAAAGATGCCAAGAACATACACTGGAGAAAAGACAGTCTTTTCAATAAATGGTGCTGGGAAAACTGGATATCATATGTAGAAGAATGAAACTAGACTCCTATCATCATATACAAAAATCAAATCAAAATGGATTAAAATACTTAAATATAAGAGCTCAAATTATGAAACTATTATAAGAAGACATTAGGGAATATCTCCAGGACATTGGTCTGGGCAAGAAATTGTTGAGCAATACTCTTACAAGCACAGGCAACCAAAGCAAAAAATGGACAAATAGGATCACATCAAGTGTAAAAGCTTCTGCACAGCAAAGTATACAATCAACAAAGTAGAGAGACAATCCACGGAACAGGAGAAAATATTTGCAAACTACCCATCTGACAAAGGATTAATAATCAGAACATATAAGGAGCTCAAACAATTCTATAGGAAAAAAATCTAATAATCTGAACAAAAAAGGGGAAAAATATTTGAACAGAGATTTCTCAAGAGAAGACATACAAATGGCAAACAGGAGTATGAAAAGGAGCTCAACATCATTGATCATCAGAAAAAGGCAAATCAAAACTATAATGAGATGTCATTTCACTCGGGTTAAAATGGTTTATATGCAAGAGACAGGCAATAACTCTGGCGAGGATGTGGAGGAAAGGGAACCCTTCTACACTGTTGGTAGGAGTATAAATTAGTACATCCACTAATTGAACAGTTAGGACGTTCCTCAAAAAAAAAAACTAACAACTGAGCTGTAGTAGGACACGCTGCAGACAAAACCTCTCAGACACCAGGTTTGTGAAGGAAGTGGCTTTTTATTCAGCCAGGAGTCTCGGCAGATTTGTGTCTCAAGAACTGAGCTCCCCAACTAGAAAATCCTGGCCTCTTTTAAAGGCTCACAATCTTAGAGGGTACATGTGAGAGGGTTGTGATTGATGAGGTAAGTGAGGGTCTAATCGTGATTAAGCAAGAACAATGCCTTCTGGGGAAGATTCCTCCATACCATGCCTGTGATCTATAGACAGGATAGGAACTAGGGTGGGGAGTTTGATCTTTAACCTCCAGGTCCAGCTAGTGGCACCGGTTTTGTCTCTTCCACTGACCTTGTGCCTTCTATTTTCAATTTTTACTTCTCCTTTTGAAATGCAGGGTAGAAGGCTAAGGGTAAGTGGTTTTAGAAGTGTAAGAGGAAGGGATCTCCTTCCTTAGAGCTACCATATGACCCAGCAATGCTACTGCTGGGTATAGATCCAAAAGAAAGGAAATCAGTATATCAAAGAGATATCTGCACTCCAGTGTTTGTTGGAGCACTGGAAGCAACCTAAGTACTCATCCACAGATGAATGGATAAATAAAATGTGGTACATATACAAAATGGAGTACTTACTATTCAGCCATAAAAAAGAATAAGATCCAGTTATTTGCAGCAACATGGATGGAACTGAAATGTTAATGAAATAAGCCAGGCACAGAAAGACAAACATTTCATGTTCTCACTTATTTGTGGGATCTAAAAATCAAAACAATTTAACTCATGGACATAGAAAATAGAAGGATGGCTAACAGAGGCTGGGAAGCATAGTAGAGGGATGTGGGGGATGTGGGGACACTTCATGGGTACCAAAATATACAGTTAGAAAGAATGGATAAGACTTAGTATTTGATAGCACAATAGGGTGACTATAATCAAAAACAACTTAATTAAACATTTTTAAATAACTTAGAGTATTTAATTAGATTGTTTGTAACTCAAATGATAAATGCTTAAAGGGATGGATATCCCATTCTCCATAATGTACTTATTTCACATTGCATACCTGTATCAAAACAACTCATGTACCTCATAAATATATATACATAGTATGTACCCACAAAAATTTTAAAAATAAAATACAAGGCTGGGTGCAGTGGCTCACACCTGAAACCCCAGCACTTTGGGAGGCCAAGGCAGGTGGATCACTTGAGGTCAGGCGTTCGAGACCAGCCTGGGCGACAAGGTGAAACCTCATCTCTACTAAAAATATTAAAAAATTAGCCAGGTATGTTGGCACATGCTTGTAATCCCATCTACTCAGAAGGCTGAAGCAGGAGAATCACTTGAACCCAAGAGGCAAAGGTTGCAGTGAGCTGAGATCATGCCACTGCACTCCAGCCTGAGCAACAGGGTGAGACTGCATCTCAAGTAAATAAGTAAGAATAATAATAGTAAATAGGAAGAGCTGGCCTTCTTTAGGGGATATGACTTTAGAAGCTTGAGAAACTTTCTGCACAAAATAGAAGCAACTATTTCCATGCTTTTGCTCAAGGCAGTGATACTTCAGTTTCAGTAGGTAAGACAGAGTCATTGTAGTAGTTTCATCACTAGTTTAAACCATACTAGTTTAAACTTGGATGACTCCCTGCACTCTCAACAGAGATTGAAGGTAAGGGATGCATATGATTGCTAGCAGATCCTTTGCACTTGGAAGGTATATCTTGATGATAACAACATTAAATTTCAGGTAGGCAAAGATTAATGTAACTTTCCTCAACAAACTTTTAAAGCAGTCCTGTGAAGTGGGCAAGACAGATATGATAGGCCCCATTTATAGGTAGTTTTTAAGTGGCAAAGATGGAGTAAGACCTATAAAATCATTGATGACGTTACCTGTGATTCTAATACTCACTAAATGTTTAAATCCCCTCTATTCTATCTCTCCCAAATGGCTGCTAGCCTATAGGTGAATACCATCAATGTTAGGGAACCCACTATGAGAAAGAGAGGTATATTGAGGGCCCAATCTCAGAACAGTGCTTAAGCTGTATAAATCAAGGTTCTTCAAAGAAACAGAAACAATAGTGTCTGTCTCTCTCTCTCAATCCATATATATAAACATAAAGATATTGTGAGGAACTGACTCACATGATAATGGAGGCTGAGAAGTCTCATGATTTCCATCTGTAAGCTAAAGACCCAGGAAAGCTAGTGATGTAATTTCAGTCCAAATCCAAAGGCCTAAATCCCTGTGTCCTCTGGCTTTTTGTTCTATTCAGGCCCCTCAGTGGATTTGATGATGCCCACCCACTTTGAGGAGGGCAAGCTACTTGACTGAGTTAACCAATTTAAATGCTAATTTCAACCAGAAATATCTTCACAAGCACACCCAGAAACAGTGTTTAATATGGGCACCCCACGGAGCAGTCAAGTTGATACATAAAATTAGCCATCACAGAAGCCATCTCAACTTTAGAACCCCATGGGGTTTCTAGGCGTTTGTTGTGACTGCATCCCAGCCTGACTTCTCCCTTAACCTCAAGGCTATATGAAAGACTGTTAGCAATTCATCTGGAGTTACCAGGGTACTGTGAATGCCTATCCTACCCTCTTAGTGGCAGTGAGTGTGATGATTAGTTTTATGTGCCAATATGGCTAAGCCATGGTACCCAATTATTCCATTAAACACTAATCTAATCTGGATGTTGCTGTGAAGATATTTTGTGGATGCGATTAACATCTATCAGTTGACCTTAAGTAAATAACAAAGATACTATCTTCAGTAATCTGGGCGGCCTAGATTAAATCCAATCCACTGAAAGGCCTTATGAGCAAAATTGAGGTTTCTCTAAGGAAGAAGATATTTAGCTTATGGACTATAGCATCAGCTCCTGCCTAAGAGTTTCAGGCCTGCTACCCTGCTCTACAGATTACACACCTGCCAGCTCCCACAATCACGTAAGCCAATGTCTTGAAATCAATCTCTTTATTATTTTGAAATAAACATAGTGGTGTGGTGGTAGGGCCAGATTGACAGGGTTGAAGAATGAAAGAGAATAAGAAAATGGAAACAGAGGACAGAAGTTCACCTTAAAAAAAAGTTTTAAATTTACTTTTGAGGGGTTTGGTTGTGATGGTAATAGATTGGGGGTCAGCTGGAGATGGATGTGAGATCAATAGAGTTGGAGTGTGTGTGTGTGTGTGTGTGTGTGTGTGTGCGTAAGACTAATGGAATGCTATTGAAATGAGCTAATGGAGAGGAAAAGGTTGAAGACAGAAGGTAAAAGAGATAAGACATGGCATAAAGTTCTAAAACGGGGAGGGAGGTCCTGAGCATAGGGGGAGATATTGGCCTTGGATGGAGAGGGAGGGCAGTTACTCAATAACAAGAAAACTAGGAAGGAGGAAAGAATGGATATAAATCTGACAGGGAATGGAAATCTGGAAATGGGAAAGTAAAATGGGTTTTCTAGAACAGCTGCAATTTTCTTTATGAAATTAAAAATAATAGTAGAAAATAAAATGACTTCTCATTGATTAGTGTGCACAGTAACTAGTTGCAGCATATATTTGAGAATCCAATAAATGAACTTTGACCTTTGTTGTGTTTTTATAATGGTTGATAATGTTTTTAGTAAAATTGCTGAAAAGGTTTTAAAAATTCCAAATGATCACTTCCAGCTAGCTTTAAGGCCACCTATAAATAAATCATTTCACAGCTGCTAAAGTGGAGTTTGGAAATCCCCTACTCAAGTGTAAACAGAACACTCTCCCAATGTACCTTTCCTTTTTTTTTTAACCTCAGTCAGCAAGACTCAAAACTTCCTTCACTCTCTGTGAAAATTGAAGGGAAGCAGTGACTTTATGTGGTCTCAATAGATGGAAACCATTTTGCATTTATGGTCTCTACTCTTGACTGAGCCCATAACACTGTTCTCAATCTTTTATCTTTGAAAGGAAAAACATAGGGATACAAAAGACACAGAGATTAAAATAATAAATTCCTATTTGCCCAGCCCCAGAATCAACAAATACCAGCCTTTAGTCATATTTACTTCAAATCTTTTTTCTTTCTACTAAAAGGCATAAAATATAACCAGTAAAGTTGAAAATTTCTTGAGTGTGGAAAAGTCAATAGAAAAATCTTGGTGGCAGGGCATGGTGGCTCATGCCTATAATTCCAGCACTTTGGGAGGCCAAGACTGGAAGATCACTTGAGGTCAGGATTTCAAAACCAGCCTGGCCAACATGGTAAAACCACATCTCAACTAAAAATACAAAAATTAGCTGGTGTGTTTATGCATGCCCGTAATCCCAGCTACTTGGGAGGCTGAGGCAGGAGAATCACTTGAACCTGGGAGGTGGAGGTAGCAGTGAGCTGAGATCACACCATTTAACTCCAGCCTGGGTAACAAGAGTGAAACTCCATCTCAAAAAGAAAGAGCTTAAAAAAGAAAAAGAAAGAGAGAGAGAGAGAAAGAAAGAAGGAAGGAAGGAAAGGAAAGGGAAGGAAGGAAGGAAGGAATGGAGGGAGGAAGGAAGGAAGGAGAAGGAAGGAAGGAAGAGCTTAATGATACAGGACATAGTCAGTTGACCAAGGTCTTTAACCTTCTAAAAGGTTAAACCACCTTTGATTGGTGGTTCACGATAGTTCTGAGAAGAAAAGTATGACAGAACACGGGGGAAAAGATTAGCCTAGGAGAGAGAAGAGGCCTCCTCTTCTCCTAGCAGAAGGGAAGGAGGTGGGTTCTGGCTCAGTAAATTACTTCCTCTAGGAATTTAGTCAAATCTGAATTTCCTCTGCCGCAGTAGCTTCTGTCAAAGCATAGAATTTCAACAAATGGTGTCTAAGGTCTTTTCAGGATGTGAATCATAGAGCCTACCTTCAAGTTAACCCAAACGATTGGAAAGGCTTCTCCCAGAATTCTCATTTTAAGAGTGCTTCAAGGCAGAGCCAACCTTTATAATGTGACTCTATTTGATGGGCTGGGAAGCTGTCTGGCTGAAAAATTTCAGTGTGTTTCCCTCGTTGTGAGTTGTGACACAGCTCCTCTGTTTTAAAAATGGCACTTTTCCAGGATTAACTAACTTCATTGTTCATGGTAGTTTTGAGGAGGAAATGGTGACAAGCAGTCCAAAGTCTTGAGTACTTTATGCCATGCCAAAATGCTGTAAAATCATCAAATATCACCACTTAAAAGAATTTTAGCAATCATTTCATTCACTCACTCACCCAGAACAGGGGGTCAATAGAAAGAACATTGCACAAATAGTATTGACTGATTTTATTTTCCATCCTCTGTGACTTTGGGGCACAGTATTATGTTCTTGTTCTATGCCAGAATAAACTTTACTATGACAAGTATAAGCTACCAGGAATATTGTGACAGCACAGACACTGTAGTAACATTGT